GTCCTCAAGGGTTAGGGTATGATTTTTGGGTCGAAAAGATAATTAAAAATCCGAGTTTTAACGTGATTTGGCGCCACGGCGCCCAAGCATGGCGCCATGGCGTCGCGATTATCATGGTAACTGGCGCCATGGCGCTAGAGTTTCTGCTTCCTTTTGCTCTTCAATGGGCGCCATGGCACCAGCGTTTCTACTGGAACTCGTCTCTTCATGGCGCCCCTTTTTCGGCGCTGTGGCGCCAATGTCACTGCTTTAATCCTCTTCTCTTTGTTTTTTCAAGCCTATTTCCCACTCCAATCTTATTCAATACTTGCTTATTCATGCTCCATTTCATTGATCATCATTTTTGCTCATCACCGACTCCCAATAGTGGTATTTTCTTGAGAATTGTCCAAACTGCAAAACAATACTAACACACACATCAAAACGTTCAAAAATGCTCAAGAACACATCAAAAAAATTTGATTTAGAAGCTTTAGTTTAATGAGTGAATTACACTCATCATTACTGTTCTTGTTGGAATTAGTTCATTGTTGTCGTTCTTAACTACTGTCATCCGTCCTTACTTTGGTACCACTTGCACTGGGCTGACCCATTCACTGTCTGAAATGGCAAAAATGATTCCTACCTTCAATAGCTTTTGAATCTCCGCTCGAAAAACTTCTTTCATTGTTGGGTTTAACCTTCTTTGATGTTTGATGGATGGCTTGTAAGACTCTTCCATGGGGATTTTATGCTTGCAGATTGTAGGACTTATCCCCTTGATGTCAGCTATCGACCACCCCAAAGCGGCCTTATGATCCTTCAACACTTTCAATGATCTATCCTCTTCGCCTCTGGTGAGTGATGAAGAAATAATTACTGGAAATGCAAACTTGTCCCCCAGGAATGCATAGCGAAGGTGATTTGGTAGTTGCTTCAGTTCAATCTTACTGCTTTCATTGCTTTCTTTGTCATCTACTTCCTCTAATTGTTGAATATCCTCACATTGTGATGGGTTTTCCACAACTGATGTAGACTCAAGAGCCAATATGTAATCAACCAAATCCTTGCTCCCGATGTACTCTCCAAAAGTGCTAATATCATCATTTGTTGTACTAAACATCATACATTACTCTAGAGGATCTTCAATACATAACTTCTCATCTCTCACGGCAGAATCAATGAAGTCAATCCTGCGGCAAGTGTCATTGTCATCTGAGTACTTCATTGCTTGGTAAATGTTGAACCTCACCTCTTCTTCATTCACTCTCAATGTCAATTGTCCCCCTTGTACATCAATTAATGCCCTTCTAGTTGTTAAAAATGGCCTGCGTAAAATTAGTGGAATTTCCTAATCTTCTTCCATATCCAATACCACAAAATCAGCTGGGAAGATGAATTTGTCGACCTTTACCAACACATCTTCAATAATTCCTCGTGGGTAGGTAAGGGACCTATCAGCTAGTTGTAGAGTCACTGTTGTTGGCTTGACCTCCCCGAGGCCTAACTTCTTAAATACTAATAACGGCATTAAGTTGATGCTTGCTCCTAGATCACAGAGGGCCTTTTCAAAGGAAGAGCTTCCAATGGTGCATGGAATAGTGAAGCTGCCCGAATCTTTTCTCTTCTGAGGAAGTTTATTTTGAAGAATAGCGTTGCATTCTTCTGTCAATTTTACTGTTTCATATTCCTCCAATTTTCACTTCTTTCACATCACTTCCATCATAAACTTTGCGTAATTTGGCATTTGTTCCAAAGCATCTGCAAAAGGAATATTAATGTGAATTTTCTTGAAAATTTCTAAAAATTTTGCAAATTGATTATCAAATTTTTTCTTTTGAAAACGCTCTGGAAATGGAAGTGGTGGTGTGAGAATTGGTGGGTTGTCAAGGAAGGATATGGAGTAAGGTTTGTGGGCCTTATTTGTTCCTTTGGCCTGCTTTTCTTGCTATTCTACTACTTGTTATTTCTCCTTATCAGGTGTGGGGTTGCTATCTTCAGTGAGTTCCCTTTCTCCAAGTTGCTTGCCACTCCTTAATACAACTACTTTACAGTTCTCCTTTGGATTGACCTCTGTATCACTTGGAAATTTTCCTTTTTCCTGAGACTTCATTGAGGTAGCCAATTGGCCAATTTGCACTTCAAGATTCTTCATTGTGGCTCCCATGTTGGACACATGTGTTTCAATATTATCCAAACGTGATTCATCTTTGTTGAAGCGTGATCTTGTCCCAGAAATGAACGTCCCAAGGATGTCTTCCAAGGGTGGTTTCCCATCAGAATTCTGAGTGTTGAATCCGGGTGGAGGTTGAAGTGTGTTTCTATTGTTGCCATATGACAAGTTCTCATGATTCCTCAGCCCTGGATGATAGTGATTAGCTTGGTAGCTTCCTCTTTGATTGTAGTTTCTACTGTTGACATATTGGGCCTGCTCGTTTGCAACCTCTGTCTCTTGGTGTGATGAAGAAGTACTCATGACTGAATCTACCTTCTGTTGATTTCCTTGAGTGGTAAGCGTGACTATCTGATTTGTGAGTGATGCAACCTAAGCTGCTAGTGTGGTGATGGGATCCACTTCATGAAGTCTTGCTACTTTCTTTACACCCGATCTCTCACTTGGCCATTGGTAACTGTTGGTGGCTATGTCATCCAATAAAGCATATGCAGCCTCTGTTGTTTTAGCCATTAAAATACCTCCCACAGCTGCATCTACCATAGTCCTTATCTGCCCATTTAGCCCATTATAAAATATCTCAATTTGCATCCATTTCTGGAACCCATGTTGAGGACATCTCCTAAGCAAATCTTTAAATCTTTCACAGGCTTCATAGAGTGGCTCGAAGTCGAGTTGTTTGAATTGGTTAATTTCACCGCGAAGTTCAGCTGATTTAGAAGGTGGAAAATACTTGGTGATGAATTTCTGAGCCAAATCATCCCAAGTTGTAATTGAGCAATACGGTAGTGATTGGAACCAAGCCTTTGCTTTATCCCTTAAAGAGAATGAGAATAGGTGGAGTCTAATTGCATCTTCAGTAACCCCATTCATCTTCACTGTGTCACGAATTTCCAAAAAGGATCCAAGATGAGCATTTGGGTCTTTTACTGCAGCACCCCCAAGTTGATTTTGCTGCACCATATGTATCGACCCTGGCTTCAATTCGAAATTGTCTGTAGCAATTGCTGGACGTGCGATGCCGAAATAGTTGTCATTGACAACCGGCCTTATGTAGTCCCGAATAGCCCTTTGTTGGTTATCCTCATTGGCTGCTCTAGCATCCTGTTCTGCCATTGCTTCCCGTTCGTTTCTTTGTATGCCTCTGAGAATGCGAAATGTGCGTTCTGGTTCAGGATCAACAGGTAGTGGATCTAGATTTCTTGCCCTTCGCATAAACAGCTAAAAATAATCACAAGGAAGCTTTTGAAGATAGACATAAAAAGAGTAAAATAAAAATTAGGATAAAAATAAAAATCTAGAGTAAAATGAATACCGATTGGTAATAATATCAATTGAATTCGAATGAATCAATCCTCGGCAGCGGCGCCAAAAACTTGCCATGCGTTATATATAACGTGATTTTATACCGCAAGCGCATGGTGTCAAGCTTTGTAGTATATTAAAGAATTGAAAAGTGTCGAACCTACAGGGATTGATATTCAACTTCCACTGATTACTATAATTGTGTCTGCGTTTACTTTATCTAGACAATCGAGTGTTAAATTAATGTTTGAATACTAAACTAACGTCAATGAATTAAATAGTGCGATAAAAGTGAGGCAATTTCTAAAGACTAAATCAAAATTATGTAATATCTAGGGAGTGATTTCACCGTATTCTCGACATAATTCCTAATCCCTATAGATATTTCCATCAACTATTTCCCGAATTCATAGGCAAGAATCCTAAATTAATTCTATTTCCCCCTCTCGAGCTTCAAATAGAAGCTATCTCTATATTTTAACCCCAATATCTCTATTCCGAATTAAATATATAAAGATTATCACGCACTTGGTTCTTGTTTTACCCTCAAAGATTCATACTTTCTCTCGAAACCTACAAACCTAGGTTATATTGTTCTTAGATCATGCCTAAATTTCCCTCTCTCGAGCGTTAAATTTAGAACATCAATTCATTCAATTGGTGATCAGGCAACTGAAAGCAATAAACAAGAACAATACAAATCAATTCTGGAAAATTAAATAGAAATACTGTAAAGAAATTAAATCATGTCTCAAATAGGTTACATCAAACCCTAGATTTAATAGTTTAGTTCATGATTGAGAAGAAAAACATAATAAAATACAAAATAGAGTGCATGTATAAGAGAAAGATAGAAAAAACTCAAGTTACTGCTCTATTTCTCAATCTTGTTGCTTGATTTCTCAGTTTTCTCCCTTCTTCTTCTCCAAAATCGGGTCGATCTTCTCTCAATTGGTACCTCTCTTTTTCTTGCCTCTTCAGCCGTCTGACCCCCTTCTCTTATTCTTCATCTTGGTATTTATATTTTCTAAGAGTCCTCAAGAGTTAGGGTATGATTTTTGGGCCGAAAAGATAATTAAAAATTCGGGTCTTAACGTTTTGGGATTTGGCGCCATGGCGCCACGATTCTCATGTTAACTGGAGCCATAACGCCCAGGTCTGGCGTCGTGGCGCCCAAAGTTCTGCTGGAATTTCATCTCTTTGGCACTGTGGCGCCAATGCCACTGCTTTGCTTCTCTTCTCTTTGTTTTCCAAGCCTATTTTCCACTACAATCTTATTCATTACTTGCTTATTCATGCTCCATTTCATTGATCATCATTTTTTGCTCATCACAGGCTCCCAATAGTGGTATTTTCTCGAGAGTTGTCCAAACTGCAAAACAACACGAACACACACATCAAAACGTTCAAAAATGCCCAAGAACACATCAAAAAACGTGATTTAGAAGCTCTAGTTTAATGAGTGAATTACACTCATCAATTACAAAGAAAACACAACCTAGTTGACTGGAGATCCCAAGATCTAGGTTCAAAGGGACAACCTAATTGTAAAGACTTAATAAAAATCACTATAAGGGTGTTCCTCCTGTCCATTCCTATGATGTAACAATTATAACCATAAAGATGAAGGATAAACAATAGGCTTTTAATGATTCTTATGCGTCGAAAATCGAGCTAAGTAATACGGGTTACTTGTAATAAGAAATCACAGATGTAAGATAGAAGTGAGGTCGCTTCTAAGAGAATTGTTTGGGGCTCAATTCTTAAGAACTCTTACAGAACCAGGCATATGTTCACGACCAAAACAAATATAATAATGAGAACTGAATTGTGTTAGGAAAAATCCTGTGTAGAGTATATCATCGTTTCAATAAACGATAGAACAGTTCAAGGACAACATATCTACTGGTCAACTAGTAAAGTAAATATCCTTTCACAAGGGAAGGTTCAAAGGTAATACCTACCTATCCTATGTAGGCTTCAACCGTTAAACTTTATCACCAAGTCTTGTGTCTCACGGTCTCATGTGTCTCCCAATTTTCATTCATGTGGGGGATTGTTGAAAAATATGAGTAAATAGCTCACTTTTGACACAATTTCGTTGGGACTCGTTGGTCCAATTTGGAAGATCAAAGTTGATTCGTGTTCTCCTCCGTGAGAGTATCGAAATCGCATATTTACTTGCCAAAAATGAATCTCGGATGAATGAGAAATTAGAACTCAAAGTTGACCATTGAAAGATGATTATGTGGAAAATATGAGTTTGTCCCACATAGAAAAAATATGAAAGCAAGAACAACTTTTAAATATGGTTGCACATTGGAAGGGTGTAATTATGTGTAGTATAGAGGCTCTCTCCACGTGCGCGCAAGGGGTGTAAATCATGGATCGAAATAGCTTTCGGACCTTGAACTTGTGTGCGGGTACGATTTACGTACACGAATATCGTACCGAACAGAACAAAAATTGGCCAATTTGGAGTGTTTACGTTTTGCAATTTTTTTGCTTTCTCCAACTGACCTTTGAGTTTCCTGAGACTACCAAAACTCCCAGAAATTGAAGCAACTACAGATTTTATTGCCATGGAGTTTAATGGAAAGATTTAACATATATTAAATCTCATAATTTTTCAACAACTGCAACACACGAAAATAGGAAAAATATTATTCTACATAATTTTTTCTATTTGCATCTTGATTTCTGTCCACCGTCGTCATTTTGTGGTGATATTGTTGGGATACTAGTCAGTTCACTGGAGTAGTATCTGTGGTTCTCAAATTCTACAGATTTTACCGTTATATCCTGGGAAACAGACGCTCGGATTAAATCTCAAGTACTTACGGTGAGAGAGCGAATCTGTTTTAAGGAAATTGTGCTCGCACAAGTTTTGGGTTGAAAGTTCATCCACTATTTAATATTTCTGCAATTTATTCGTGTGTTTTAGTTTTATTATGTTATTTTTCTTTTTATTTTTATTGAAATTAATTTGCGTTAATTTCTATTTATGTTAAAAATACAAATCTTAAAAAAAAAAAAATTATCGCAATTTCGGTATGTGAAAAATTAAATAAACCATCGAATAGTTATATGCCAGCCTTCCTTGGAAGCCTTTCAATTCTTTTACTGCAATATTAATCTGAAATTTTGGCATGTGCAAAACCAATATTTGAAAATACGGTATATATATGAAATGGGTAAAAACAATATGTGCAAATACGGTTAAAAATATATACGGTAGGCAGCACAATATATGCAAATATGGTTAAAAGCATATACGATAGACAACATATATGATAGGGTGCAAATGCTGTAAATTATCTGCAAATATGGTAGACTGCATATACGGTAAGTTGTCTGCATATACGGTATATTGCATGCATGGTATGCTTAAATCTGATATCTAAACTACATATGCGGTATGTGATAATTAGCTTTCATTAACACCACTAAATTCCAACACATAAGACTCACTTTATTGAACTTATCATTCAATGTCATGTTATACGGTTGTCATATCTGATAGAGATAAATAACTTTACTCTTAATATTGTAGCACTAATTATATGAGGATTATATCTGACCAATCTTTTATACCTATGCTCGTTTCCTCAAGCCGTCCTATCCCTGAATAATTGTTGATTCTTGAGCAAGTTGGGGATTGCGCGACAGTTGAAAGAGCTACTCGAAAACTTTGTGCACAAGCATAAAAGCGTATACATAAGAATTAGTAAGGCAGGATGTTATTCAATGGAGTAAACAGACTTAATAAAAGCGGTTCCTTATATATATATATATATATATATATATATATATATATATATATATATATGTCTGTGTGTGTGTATATATATACACACATGAAAGGAGAGCATGTTAGTGTAATTCAGGTTTCAATTTTTTTTATTCTTTCTTGAATTGCCTATAATTTATCAAGAGTAGTGTCACACATGGTTTTCCCCTGGAAAATGGGGATCCAATGTCAAAAAAGTGAAGATCAAATGCTGAAAAAAAAATTTGAATGAGAAGCAAAAACTAAAGTTTCATTAACCGCCAAAATACTTACATATATAAATCTGTAGGAAAAGAAATGGCTCAAAGTTCCCTCAAAACACAAACGGCACTTGAATTTTTACATGGCACGTCAAGACGTGATTTGCCATAATACTCTTGACATATAGTTGTCTCAATGTATTTGATACAATACTAGAATATTAAATCTGTACATTTCTCTGTACTTTAATCATATCAAGAACTCCACACCACTTTCTGCATGCAAGACTCAGTAATGATAATTATCGATCATTGCAGTTGCATGGATGACAGGATTTCGTATAAAACAACCAAGTTTTGTTGGAGATCCAAGGATTCTACTATTAGCCCATTCGACTCTCTCAGAACGAAATGACTTTCATGTTTGATGGTGCACAAACGGTTTTTTAATTCCTGGTTCACGAGTTTCAGGCGATTTACTTCGACTATAAGGTTTTCTAACTGCATCTTCTTCCGCCATCGAGACCGCCTGGCTGATTCTCGATTTGATATCATCCTCTTTCGCTTCCTAGTTTCTTCAGCGGAGTTATTCGTATGGATTGTCTGGGAACCGGAGGTTGAATGGACCGGTGGTTCTGATTGAAAAAGGGAGAAGAGTTCGTGAATTTCATTGGGAGTGAATCCATCATCAAGAACCGGGTATTGGTACTGAGCCGGTTCTTGACAAGACATGATGATTTGAGAAATTGTACAAGAGAATTGAGAAGGGGAGGAAAAGGGAAGAAATAAGGAGTAGCGCAGAGGTATTTATAGGATGAATAATGTTATTTGCAGTCATTCAATATCGCAGTTGCCCAACATGGCATATCTGTAACAATTAGTAATTTGTTGTAAAAGATAATAAAAAACTACCACGTTAATGTATCAAATCACTAACCGGTGGCATGTATGTTACATAAGGCGACTATGTCAGTGAGTGATTGCAAATAGCATTACTCTTATGGGAACTTGATGGTGACACGTGGCATTCAAACAATATTCCAAAAATGGATTATTGTCATAATTAAAGTCAATCAAACTAATTTTAACTCTTCTTGGTTAATTTTGGACATAATTATTTGGACAAATCTTGTCCCTTGGTTTCTTCAACTTTAGAGAATGACTTGTGTAAAAAATTTCTCCTAATAAGGATTGTAGGTTGTGTTACATGTACATCACCACTTACAAATTGATGTATATAAAAATGATGTGGCGAAATATAATTAGTTCAGAATTTCCCCAACCAAAAAAATAAAATAAAATAAAATCACCTTCTCCACTCTCTTAGTGGCAACTCATTTATCTATGAAACTTTCTATAATTCTTTATGTACACATATCATTATTCAAGGATTGTTGTCACCCTCTTTGTGAGTTCACTCCCACCTTTTAAATGATATATATGTAATCTTTTTGAATGGTTTAAAGTTTTAGATTGATCAGTTCAACATGCTACTAAAACAAAGAAAATAAACCCATCTACACATAATCTTTTTAATCAAGTAATTCAACAATGAAAGACCAATTCTATTGATAGAGATTTGAAGAAGTCCCTTTTGATTCTTCCTCTCCAAAATTTTATAATCGATCACTGATTTTTGTAGGAATTGGTTCAAATAATTTACCAAAAACTGAAAAATGAAAAGGTGTATAAAAGTAAAAAATAAAAAGGTGTGACTGTGTGTCAATTTCGACCAAATATTCGGACTTGATTTGATGGTCAAATTACAAAAGTAGATAAACAACTTATTCTACTCGTCGAGTAGATCGTCGTAGTATATTTGGAATCTCGAAATCAATTCCGGATCAATGAGAAATTACGGACCAAAGTTGGAAGAAATGAAGTGTTGAAACTTTTCAAAAGGATGCAGGTTTTGGCCAAGTATTGCAACTTTTTGAAAGGATGCATGTTGTGGCTCACACTACTTCATTTGCACCCTTTCTACATCTATAAATAGGACCTTATGGACATGATTTTGGGTACACTAATTGCATTGACCATTCATTCTCCTCTTACAATTCTCTCCTTTCTAATTCCATAATATTTTCATACATTTCCTTTGTTGAGAGAAAATTCTGTCAAAAGTTCGTCGGTTTCTTGTGGTTTGAAGTGCTGCTACCACAAGTTGTGAATCCATTGTATCTTGGGAGACAAGTGTCATTCACCGTGAGCACCGTAGAGGGGCAATTTGTCTTAAGAAAAGAGATAACGTCTCGCCTTGAATTATTCTTTATTTCTACTCCTTCTTAATCATTGTTTTTCTTAATCATTATACCGAAACGCTATCCAAATTTTCATTCATATAAATTGTGTTTTGATCACGCTCTTGTGGGTTAAAATTAGTCAAACAAATATATCAAAAACCAATCCTTACATAGCCCTTTTTATAAGTCGTCTCCAACAATTTTAAGTGTCGAATTTTCAATGGTTGGCATATATATGTGGTGGGGGTCTATATCTGCTTTATTCAGATGGAAATCTTTGCTAAATTATTACCTTAACCGCGAAGAACTAACCGAAACAACAAATCAGATAAGCATATTTTGCTTCTAAAGAACAATCCCCACAGATTGAAGTCATGTGGGAAAGAGAGCACTGGCTGGTTTAAAATTTAAAGAAGCCATGCATGTGGAATCCGTTATGTTATGTCAATTCTTTTTATCCTTTTAACGGTTTTAAAGGTGCCAATCGTACAAATAAAAGATTTCTTTTGACCTTTAACATATTTGGTAAGTTGTTACAATTAAACTTTGTTATTGATTATTCGGAGTATTTAATCTTACAAGTTGGTCCTCATTGATTACACGAGATTTTATGTATCTCATGCTACTTCGATACGAGCGTAAGCCCGTGATACTTTCTACTATTGTACTTTCTCCATATGAGGTGCCAACAAGCACGACCCTCATATTGCTCTTTCACAACCTCATAAGTAAGAACTTGACCTCCTCTTGTTGACATAAGAAAACATCACAACGAGAAGTATGTTAAATGTATTCATCTCAAATCACTCGACCATGAGAGTCGAGAGCCAGACTTACATTCTCACTTTTCGAAAATGGAATAAAGCTTGAGTTTAATTGTGCTTAGAATTAAGCCAAAAGTTATCTATTGTGCTAAGATGCCTAAATTAAATAAATACACATTTTCCAGTCTAATGTCACATCAATTAGCACTCTAAAACCTAATAGAAGAATATATCCAATCTGGTATTTAGTCAGTATTAATCTTGATTAGCAGTTAATTCCTGTTTTGCCACGTTGACAACTTCAACATATTGACATGTGGCGGAGAGTAACATGCAGTGTTTCTGTCTGCTGAACTTTATGTTTTCTGATTAGTAAAAACGGTTAACTTTAATTGGAATCCTAATGTACTTTCCTGTATTTGGTTGGTCAGTTTTCACTTTTAAAGCAGAAGTTGGTAGGTTTACATGTGGTAGCAGTTAATTCGAGAATGAAGAAGAACCACAAAATGTTAGTGATGTGCATATCTTTATAGAAAGAAAGGGTACAAGTCAAAGAGATGAGCGATGTTGAGCTATTGGGGGTGCAAGTGCCGAAACTGCCTTTCCTACTTTGCCTTTGTCAGTAGGCCAATTAGTAACTAGAAGGTAAAATTGATTGTCTTCAAATACATTTTCGATAATTCAACAATCACATCTTCTAAGTGAATAATGTTATTCATCATTAAATATTATCATCACTGATCTAGGCAACGTAATCCTTGATGTGCTGTCCAATAGTGCAACCTCAACCAGTGATGATCTCAATTAAAATGAATAATATTGCTCCCCAGAAAAAGGAAAGACACCTTGGCGAAAAAAATGTGTTGATATCTTCTCATTTGTTAAGAGGTGACGCTTTCAAGACGTCAAAATATATTGGAGAACGGCTAGTTGGGACAGCAAATCTTTCTCCCATTGTACTTTTTCCACCCACAACTTACAAGAAAATCTAAATCTTAACCTCTAAGATAAGCCTTAGCAGTCGCAAGGAATGAAAAGCAAACCTAAAATAAAAAAAAAATAAAAATAAAAAATAAAAAATAGAGAAACTCGTGATCAAAATTGTTTACGGAAAATTTAGCATTTTCATATTTTGTGGTATCGATATCAAATATATTGGAAATAAAGCCTAGGTTGTTATTGTTGTATATAACCATTTATATTTCGCTGGGGTGACCCGCAAATCTAAAACGCACACTAGCCACCAAGCTTCAACACGAGACCTGAAGAGAGAAGTACTATACACATGCTTCATTTTGTCATTGTTATATTAACTGAACTGAATACCAAAGAAAACAAATTTGAACCATGAATCCACCAAATACACAGTAAACTAACGGTCAGGTATGAGTCTACACCAACAAAACGAGCTATTGATTGTTTTGACATTTGCAACAGAATTATGCACAACGGTCAGGTACAAGTCTTTACCAACAAAGCGATCTATTGAATTTTTCGACATTCTGTGGGCTTAATGAACTTCCCAGAATACCGATTATGTACCTACAGCATTTCTGCTTCCCAGGGTTCACTTCAAATTTGGTTTATGTATGTACCTTGTGTACTTCTTTTGGAGGTGAACGTACGCAATAAATGCCTACAAGTTTACTGGAGGACTACCCTGCATTCCACAACGCAAAACAATTTCATCATTCAAATCACATGTTTGCAGAAGATGAGTTCTCTACGCTGATTTAAAGCTAACCCTTGCATAAATGATAGTAGAGAGGACTAAGGAGCCCCAACCACAGAAGTTCCAGTTTAACAAGACATTACAAGTCTAAGACAGGGCAATAGAAAACTGACCTTGAATAAAAGATCGTGAGCAATGTGTTCCCAGGGCAATGATATGGATATTAGGCAGCATCTGAGGGGCAGCATCTCTTCTTCAGTTTGGGTAGTGGAAGCAGCTGCATAAGCTTGCTTTGCTGCCATCGTTGCAACAGATGCGGCTTGGCGAAAAATAGTACCTATACCAAGCCCTCTTTTAGATATCTGAATAGGAGAGTGAGGACCTGATTCCGGCTTGGATTGATCTAACACAGGAATAACAAGGTCGAGTTTGCAGTCAATTTTGTTAACAATGGATAGGATACCACAAGTAGAACAATCACCAGAGAGAGAAGGTCCTCTGTCCTAAAAGAATCAGAGGAACTGAAAATAGGAAGTAGATATACCAAAATGTTTCTGTTGTGACAAAACTCAAAAAGAAAAAAGAAAAATTACTGAATCATTTTGCCCTCAAATTTCAAAAATATTAACTTCAACTATGTTACACTAACAGAATGGGGATGATAGACTCCCTGACCAAACACTCACGATAGGGGTGGGGCCACTCTCTTTGGAATTTTTAATTCACAAGAGTCCCAACACCATGTGAGAGGATGTCAAACCGCATGTCACCCTTTTCTGTCGAACTAGTTTAATTCTATTAACTTTCAGTGTAGTTGCAAAATCCTTGATAACTATAATTGTGCCAGTCCCTCTTTTTATATTTCTCCAGATAATATGTCCAGTCTTGAAACCACAGGCTAAACCATTAGGCCGTAAAGAGGCTTCACAGCATTGTAGGAAAAATACTTCTATTAACACCATGCCTAGATCTGATGAATACAATTTTTAAAGGCAGTTTCTGGAAAAATTTGAAAGGCTCCTTTATTTGCTCATGCACCCACTGCTTCTAGGCTTCTGTAGACAACCATGCGGTTCTTAGCCAAAAAATTTCAATACTAAATCAAGGAAATCGCCCTTCAGAAGTGGACAATTGTTGGGATGGGCAGTAATAGGAAATTAGAAAAGATTTAGTGAATCATGATACTCTAACTTAAAGGGTCATCCTATTCTATGACATCAGAGTACCAAGAAAAGTTCACCTGGAACACCAGAGACAGCTACTTCAACTTCTCCACGTCCTCCAGGACCTTTCATGTAAATCCTGTCTGTTTTGCTGGAGGAGTTACCGAGTGACAGAAGGCTCCCAAAACCAGTCCTTCCTGCTGTAAAAGTGAAAAGAACGGAAATGATATGTTGGTCTAAGTTAACTATTTTTAACTGGAAATATTAAAAAACTCATAAGTTATGGAAATAGCATTACGAGTTCATAAATAGACGCTTGCCAATGAAACAAATTAATCATAATCAGTTGATTCTCTCCATCAATCATATTGAGTAAACCCCCACCCTCCATCTCCCTGGGAAAGAAAAAGTAAATAAAATATAAATCTAGTTTGATTGATGGCTCAAATGTGGCTTGAGTGATCAAAAGAATTTCAGTACCATGAGACAATTAATACATTGCCACACGGAGTCATTGGAAGCAGTGCTTTCCCACTCAAAAGCACCTAATATGGCATCAAGCTACGTTCATGACCAAGAAACTGAGATCGATTTTTCCTAGTCTCTTATGAAGTAGTACTACCTTGAAACCTTTAAAATGTAAAAGCTCAGGCAAGCTGCATGCCACATATGCACCTTAGAAACCACAGGCGGAATAAAAATTTCAAGTAGCCAATCAGCCAAGTAGAGATTTCAGTGTGAGAATTTTTTGGGGAACAACCTGTTGTGTTTTATGAATTTATTTGACTATCAAAGTCTAGTCCAACTAGAAATTCCCAAACATGAGCAGTAAACCCCATACAGTCCGCGCGTTCTCTCCATAATATTCTGAAAGGGGGGATTTTTTACTTCTATGCTATCAAAAACCCCAACCTAACTTATGCTCAGTTTGTTTTTGCATTTTTGAGTCCTATCATGAATAACAAATTTGTGGTTGAATTGGATGCATCCATCACATTTTAATGATTTGAGCAAAGCAAAGATTCAGGCAAACAATCAATCTCACATCCATTAGGAGTAATAACCCCGAAAGTAATTCTAGCAAATCAATTTTCTAGTCTAAAGTTTACTGGAACACTAATTTCATGGCATTTTGGCAATAGTACCAGTAGACCCAGGAACAGATGAAGAAACAAGTTCTCTACATATAAAACATGCACGTATGGTCTTGGACTATGGGTAAAAAGACTAGTTTAAAAGCCTTGGGATCATAGATCTCAATTCCAAGTTCCATCAGAATATGTTGTGCAGTCATGTGATTATTGATCATTTAGTTTACTCATAAATCAGTTACTTATATACATGGGTTCATCAGTTCATCTGAGTTGTAATAAACCAATAATGTAAAATGAAACCACGCAAGAGCATAAAATAGTGGTTATCTAGGATGTAACAAAGTAATTTACCATCATATGCTTCTCGAACCATTTGGTAGTTAACAAAGCCAGAGAAAAGTGTGATCTGCAATTACAAATGAACAAATTAAAAATGAAGATCCTACAATTTACTCACATTATGCGGTATCTCCCTTTAAATAGTTATTATTAAAATTTTAACTAATTTTCTCTATTCCAAAAAATTTACAAAATAGGGCTTTTCGTGTCCTTCAAATGTTGAAAGATAGATAGGTATACAGAGAGAGAGAGAGAGAGAGAGAGAGAGAGATGGATTGATAGTAGTCTAGTGAGCATAGTTTAATGGCTGCAAATTTGTGATCACAACTAGTAGAAATACAACGAGTTTCCAATGATACAACATGCAGGTGAAGGCAACAGTCTGACTACTTAAGATATGCAGGTCGATGATATCCTAGAACTCAAGGAAACAATTTCTAATAGATATGCAATAAGCACATGAATTTCTCAAAACCTTAGAGTTCATCTTTCCGGGGCATTTATCAGTCCTCAAGGAAGTGCCAGAACTAGAAACTTGTTCTCCTAGTTCACTGGGAAATGCTGCCCCATCATGAGCGTTAAGCAGGACACAATAGCAGTGATCTGTATCGTTCAAGACCTGTGGGGCTAAGCTTTTAGAAATGGTAGAAATCAAACACAAATTGAACAACTACCTCATACATAAAAGATATGTCTAGACTTTTATTCCTTTTCTCAGCACTCCCCCAGCATAATGAAAAATGAAGCCAAGTCATGTAACGAGAACTACAGGGAAGGTTCCAAAAAATTAACCTAACGTGATGCAGAGTAGTACGCATGGGGAATACACACTGAGGGCCTATAAACAAACAATCATTTTTCCAATCCATGATCTCATTTTATTCTAGAATATCCAACAAAAAATGCAATTAGGAGAAACGAGAGAAAATTCCAGCAACTGCATGTGACCAGAAGAAAGTTCCAAATAGAGTTTTAGTGAAAACCACCATTTTACCTTCGGAGAATCCCAAAACATAAACAAAAAGTCAAGAAATAAAGCTAGCACTTATATAATTGTACTTTCTACCAAGATGAATAAACCATTGAAAAAAAAATGAGGAGAACAGGTGAAACCCAGAAAACCTTGAACTTCATCATCCCCACCCCCATCTCTCCTTCCCACGAGAAAAAGATCAAAAAAGAAAGAAAATAAAATGCATGTCAATATTACTTAAGGGAAAATGAATGGAGACAAGACCCACCCAATATTATTTGCCAGAGGTCCAATTCTCTTCTCATTAACAAGTATAAAGAATGCACCACTTTCTCACCAGGGAAAAATAAATAGTTTACTGGTTTTCTATGGAATAAAAGCAAATTAATGATCTAAACAACCTTCCTAGGAGAAGCCACATCCCCTAGGAAGATAGAGATTAAGACAATATAGCACATGAATTTGTATATAAATCAAACAGTGAACATCACAAAAAATGCACCTTACCACAGCATCGAAAGTGGAATCAAAGTCATCAACTGCAAAACATATATCTGGATAGGCAGGAGTTGTTTCTACTTCCTGAATTCATATGCAAGACAGCCAGGAATAATTAAATAAAAGTAAAGTTACATTACACTTTGTTCATTTACTTGAAATTATAATACTTGCCTTTGTTGAATCCAAATGAAAGTTGATACGACTTGGGGATGCATATACAGTCTTCACAACCTGTCCAACATTTCTACCAAGTTTACCAAACTCTTCTAAAGACGGAACATAAAATTTTAGAACTGCGAGAAATTAGACAAAATCCCTTTCTTCTAAGTCAAACATAAAGTTAAACAGTCCTTTGTCCCACAAATTTAGCTTGAATTTAAACAAAAAAATTTTGTGCTTAGCATTAAGACAGTGACATTTGGACTGTCTTTTACCCATTTCCTCCTATTTTGAATTCAAAATATCAAACATGTAACAAAATGATAAATGTTTTCACTTCAAATTTTGTCTTTTGCATAGATAATTGGATAATAAGATAAAAATGTTTTGACAATTTCACTTGAGAAACATAACATATTTGGGATGTACAAAAAGAAAAATTTATCAATAGAATGATCGAGAAGATGGTTAAATGCTGACAGTTGCCCAATTATTTATGTTTTAACACAAAACAATGCATCTATATGAAGTGAGGATTAAATGTTAAGACTGCAGAAGAACTATAAAAATGAGGCAAAGAAGCAGGTCAAGCAGAAAAGTACAGCAAAAAGAAAGAAGCATCAACATCACAAAGTATCGTAGGAAAGATAAATGTTTCATAAAGAAGGAAGAAAGCGGATCATTCCTGAAAATTCAGAATACCTGATGGTCAAGCAACATATCCTCTCATGATAGAAGACACAACTGTGGTTTAGAGAATTCACAATCTAAACTCTACATAGCAATGGTGAAGGAATCCTCCTTGAGTTATGTTTTTAACTGATGACACTCAAAATCATAAAGCTAAGGTTTTAGACACTAAACATGAAAGAAGAAAAAGAAACGAACTTATGGATTAATGTAATGCGGAAACATTAAATAGTTCTGAGGTTTTGATTCTGGAAATCAAAATTTCAAATAAGTTTCAGTAGCTTGTAACAGATTTCGAGATGGTTGATATATGTACTCTGTGCCACAGAGCCAAACAGCCAATCTGTATACAAACTCCAATGTGAAACTGTTTGCAGGTCGTTCTCTCATTTACTACCTAAAGTTGCGTAGTCAGTCTTTTTTTCTCTGGCAAGTCCAAGCAGCTTTCACTTAATTTTTGCCATGTCAAAGAGGGAGCTATGAAAGTGAAGTATTATTTTTTCAACGAAGATCATAAGAGGAGGCATAGACTCATCTCATAAAATAATCCCTTTTATATGGTTTCTTCTTCTTTGCTTTCTTTCTCTCTCTTTATTTGTATTTTGAAGGACAGGACTATCATAGGATTCAACCAATCTTGAGGTGATAGAGAATAGGTAAAAGCCTGATCAGATAATATATGGACAGCCTCAAGGATGTCATATTTTACATCAATTCTTTAGAGTAGAAAGCAATGTGGGAAAGACCACGGATGATGTTCACATCGAACCCATAATAGTTCTCCAAGCTAACAAAACACTGAAGAAGTTCCGTGACAAAGGCCACCTGTCTTTGCTTAATCAACCTAGTACATACTTCCATAGTTATCGGTCGAGCATCTTCAAACCTCCTCTCCCTCCCTTCAGTATCACTCCTTGCATGCAGTTTATGATTTTTTTGATTTACAAATCACTCCAAAGAGCGGCCTTAGTCTTAGATTGATTGGCTACGCTTGTGGATTCAGGAGCACCATTAAACAGGAAGACTCAAAGATTTGGAACAACCACAGGTCTATCGTGAAAAACTGCAATACCTTGTAAATGGGAGACAATGGTCTGTCTTTGCCAGTCTGATATTGTTGAAGAACCTGATGACTGGAAAGCAAAAAGAAAGGAAAAGGTAGAGAATTTGAATTTAAAAAGAGATGTTTGTTATGAGCAACTAGATAAATAGATGAAGCATTTAAAGATGCGGCTCAAGTAGTACATGTTTCTGGATTAGATATGCTAAAGAATCCTAGAAGAGTGTGTATGTCCAGTGTAAAAGTGAAAATAAATTGAAATTTTACTTGTGTCTCCATACCAATTCCCTTAGATATTACGGATTGCCCCAGCTGACCTCATACAGAGGTCAGTATTAAACTGCTATCTCCATTACAATAGCATCTAAAACATGAATGGAGAGAACATCCGCATATAAAAGTACTGACAAATCCTATAACACGTAAGCAAAACTTATGGATTCAGGGTAAAAGATGAGAGTTTTACCTGCAAATTGCTACTGTAACACTGAAGGAGGTATGAGCAATCAAATTCAAGTAAAATGAGCGTCTCCAATCAACATTTATTGAGTTCTCACCAACTAAGTCATCCAACTGCCCAACAAGAAGAAATGGCTGTAATCTGATATTAAAAAATAGATATTATCTCAGCATTTAAAAAATAAAAAATAAACAATGTACGATAATATTATTTAAAACAAAGGAAACAGCACCTAGAATTTTCATTCTTTGATATAAAAATACAATTAAAACTCGGTAGAAATGAAAATGAAAATGAAAAGAATTGGAATAATTTCTTTCTTTTCAATTTTGTAGAATCCATATTTTGGAATGAACAATGACCAACACTTTGACTTTACTTTAACTCATTAGATTCAATATATTGTGTTGGGTTTTTGATACCCAATAAATCCAACTTAAAATAGTTAGACGGATAATTTATCGACACTATAGACTTGGCTCGACTCGAAAACGACCTATACTTTTGGATGGCCCAAGTTTTGGTTAGTGTTTGACTTTGGGTTATTAGTTGGATGGTTATGTATGGTAGCCTATTTATTGTTAACTTAGGTTCTTTTGGTTATTGGGCACTTACCACTTGGTTTTGGCCCATTTGGAGGAAGAATTTTTAGCCTAAATTGGTGACCTAACATCCAATACATTTATCCATCTCTTGTAGCCATTTTTCTGTGTGGTGTGTATGTATTGTAGTAAGGGATAGAAGAGAAAAGAGATGAAGGCCAGCCGGCTTGGGGGGAATTGGGAGATTTCCACCATTGTTGCTTCTTCTTCTTCTTATTCTTGCTAGTACCACCACCATCCATTCTCCTTTGTGGGGTTGAGAGCGAGCCTTGGTGATTTTGGTATTCATTTGGTTGTTTTCTGAGTTTGAAATTAAAGATTCCTCAAAGATTTCTGCGAAGAATGGTAACAGAGCTTGTGTTGTTGAGAATACTGTGATTTTTTGACCAAAAACCGGCTGGAAAGTGAAGAAATTGAACCTGAAAACCAGCAGAGAAATAGGAAAGAAACTGTCCAGTTTTGTTTCATTTCTACAAGATCTATAAATCCACTTTCCAGCCAAACGACAGGGCAGTTCGTGAAACGGAGGCCAGATTCAGCTTCAGCAACTGAAGCATCTGGATGGACAATGCATGGCCGAAGACGGAGGAGCGTATGAAAGAGCGTGGTACTCCAGCGAGGCGCGCGTGTAGCGTAATATGACTACAGTTTGAAAAGACAGAATGTTGCCGATGACTCGATAGACCCTGCAGTGTTGTTGAATTTCAGTTTCGAGCAATACGGTGAAAGCTGGACGAGTTTGCCCTTGGACATTTAGATGCCATTTTGTGTTGCCGTGGTTGCTAGGAGCTTTGAGCAATGGTAGTCCTAAAGTGTTGAATTCGTATTTCTCGATATTTACGGATCTTAAGACGTGGTTCGCTCGATATCGTAATTTTCCCTCTTATTATTGTAGTTATGGTTATCGTGTAGGGTAACAATTTATTTTTTGCATTAGAAGTCATTATGTGGGGGTGACATCAGGTTTGAGGTTATCGTGGGGTAATCATTGCCTGTTGATAAACCTGTAAATTATTTGCCTTAAATTCTTTGTGAATTTGTTGCCAATCTTTTCTACTCTTTCTGAATTGCATGTGACCTTAGAAAAGTTTGTTTGACTATTCTATGTAAATTATATCTATATTTTACTTATGGTCATTATTTGGTATTGATGGCATATGTAGGTCTAAGGCAAGTGCAAAAAGTAATACATGTTTTAATTGTAGTATTATGGACATGTTGAAAGTGACTGCCCTAAGAATGATAATAAAAAGAAAGATAAGAAGAGAAGTAACGCAAATGTTGCCACCGAGTTGAGTTATGACCTTAGTGAGATTTATTGAGAATAAACCCGATTATTACATGTGCATTTGTATGTAATCCTTTCTACATGTGTGTGATTGTTTAATTTTGTTGCGTTGATATGTTACACTTTCAATTTGTTTGTGTGTGTACTAACATAAATTGAAGTGAGCTTAATACTTTAAATAATGTGTTTAGTGGATTGAAATCTATGGCGTACTCTTTTTGCTCTATGGTTGGTGTGAATGTAGTAGTGAGAAACTCCTTTATCTTTGTGAGTCTATGTAATTTGTGAGATTATGTGAGGCAACCATGTTAGGGTTATCTTCTCTCTTTGTAAGCATCTTTTGTGAATGCAGTGAAGTAACCTTTTCTTCTATTCTCTTTGCCAGCGCCACCTTCACCTTTTCCTTTGTGGATTTTTTGAGCTTTCGTATTGGAATAACCTTGTGGTGCATAGGACAATTTAAATTGAGCCCCAACCTTTTCGTTCGTCAAAAGGTGCTATTTTGCCATTGTGGATTTGTAATGCATTAGTAGTAAGTTTGAGGATGTCTATTGGTAACGTAGAGTATTGATGCCTGATGGTGTATTGATGATATGCATAGAGATGTAAAGAGTGACATTTGGATCATGAGTAAAGAGGAAATTAAATATTGGAATCCTTTATCTATGAAGAAACTCTGATCAGGTGGAGTATAAGAAAGGCACTTCTATTACTTTTGTTAGATGGAGGCCCATTATCCACTGAGCTTGGGAGAAGTGATGTGATGATAGAAGAGTATCCCATAGACTTAGGATTTATTGTAATCTATTAGTTAGATATGAGTTAAGTGACCAGTCTTAAGTGCATGGTGTGCGATGAGAGGATATATGTGTTCTTGAGGTGTGAGCAATATGGAATGAGATATGATAAATGAGCTGAGATATTTTCGTAGGGTCATTTATGCATTTGTTGCAGGAGTTTTGACCGTTTTTTAATTAACTTGGTATTAATCTATTATTCTGTGTGAACGTGCTTTTAAAAAGATTTATGTTATAATATGTTATATTTTCATCACATATTTATTTGTTCTTGATTGATTACTGTGAATATTTACTTCTACTTGGATGTTTTTGACCTTAGCCTTGTTGACCATATGGAGTAGGTATGGAATGTGTTTTGGCTCCAAAACACGAGATAAGCTCTATTATCCCAATTTTATTGGTTGTCTTGATTATACAAGTATTAACTTTGCATTTTGATTGCTTGCAGATTAATTACATATCAAGGTGAAGATTTGTTGGATTTTTGATACCCAATAAATCCGAGCGATGATTTAAAATAATTGACGGATAGTTACACCATAGACTCGACTCGACTCGAAAACGACTTCTACTTTTGGATGGCCCAAGTTTTGGTTAGTATTTGGCTTTGGGTTTTTAGTTGGATGGTAATATGTACGGTAGCCCATTTATTGTTAAGTTAGGTTCTTTCGATTGTTGGGCCACTTACTCATTGGTTTTGGCCCATTTGGAGGAAGAAGGTTTTGGCCCAAATAACATCCAATACATATATCCATCTCCTGTAGCCCTTTTTGTATGTGGTGTGTATGTATTTTATCAAGGGATAGGAGAGAAAATAGAGAGGGAGAGCAGCAGGCTTGGGGGGAATTAGAAGAGATTTCCACCATTGTTGCTTCTCTTCTACCTATTCTTGCTAGTAACACCACCATCCATTTTCCTTTGTGGGGTTGACAGAACTTGGAGCAACCAAAGTGGAGGTTTTGATTTTGGGTCGAGCCTTGGTGATTTTGGTGTTCACTTGGTTTTTTTTTGCCCGACATTAAAGATTTTTCAAAGATTTCCGCGAAGAATGATACTTTTTATGAAAAATAGATCTAAACATTTTTTGGTTTTAGTGCATCATCTCTAAAAATGAAAAACGTGAAACTCATGATAAAATTCAATGTCCTTTATCTTTGTGAGTCTATGTAATTTGTGAGATTATGTGAGGCAACCATGTTAGGGTTATCTTCTCTCTTTGTAAGCATCTTTTGTGAATGCAGTGAAGTAACCTTTTCTTCTATTCTCTTTGCCAGCGCCACCTTCACCTTTTCCTTTGTGGATTTTTTGAGCTTTCGTATTGGAATAACCTTGTGGTGCATAGGCCAATTTAAATTGAGCCCCAACCTTTTCGTTCGTCAAAAGGTGCTATTTTGCCATTGTGGATTTGTAATGCATTAGTAGTAAGTTTGAGGATGTCTATTGGTAACGTAGAGTATTGATGCCTGATGGTGTATTGATGATATGCATAGAGATGTAAAGAGTGACATTTGGATCATGAGTAAAGAGGAAATTAAATATTGGAATCCTTTATCTATGAAGAAACTCTGATCAGGTGGAGTATAAGAAAGGCACTTCTATTACTTTTGTTAGATGGAGGCCCATTATCCACTGAGCTTGGGAGAAGTGATGTGATGATAGAAGAGTATCCCATAGACTTAGGATTTATTGTAATCTATTAGTTAGATATGAGTTAAGTGACCAGTCTTAAGTGCATGGTGTGCGATGAGAGGATATATGTGTTCTTGAGGTGTGAGCAATATGGAATGAGATATGATAAATGAGCTGAGATATTTTCGTAGGGTCATTTATGCATTTGTTGCAGGAGTTTTGACCCTTTTTTAATTAACTTGGTATTAATCTATTATTCTGTGTGAACGTGCTTTTAAAAAGATTTATGTTATAATATGTTATATTTTCATCACATATTTATTTGTTCTTGATTGATTACTGTGAATATTTACTTCTACTTGGATGTTTTTGACCTTAGCCTTGTTGACCATATGGAGTAGGTATGGAATGTGTTTTGGGTCCAAAACACGAGATAAGCTCTATTATCCCAATTTTATTGGTTGTCTTGATTATACAAGTATTAACTTTGTATTTTGATTGCTTGCAGATTAATTACATATCAAGGTGAAGATTTGTTGGATTTTTGATACCCAATAAATCCGAGCGATGATTTAAAATAATTGACGGATAGTTACACCATAGACTCGACTCGACTCGAAAACGACTTCTACTTTTGGATGGCCCAAGTTTTGGTTAGTATTTGGCTTTGGGTTTTTAGTTGGATGGTAATATGTACGGTAGCCCATTTATTGTTAAGTTAGGTTCTTTCGATTGTTGGGCCACTTACTCATTGGTTTTGGCCCATTTGGAGGAAGAAGGTTTTGGCCCAAATAACATCCAATACATATATCCATCTCCTGTAGCCCTTTTTGTATGTGGTGTGTATGTATTTTATCAAGGGATAGGAGAGAAAATAGAGAGGGAGAGCAGCAGGCTTGGGGGGAATTAGAAGAGATTTCCACCATTGTTGCTTCTCTTCTACCTATTCTTGCTAGTAACACCACCATCCATTTTCCTTTGTGGGGTTGACAGAACTTGGAGCAACCAAAGTGGAGGTTTTGATTTTGGGTCGAGCCTTGGTGATTTTGGTGTTCACTTGGTTTTTTTTTGCCCGACATTAAAGATTTTTCAAAGATTTCCGCGAAGAATGATACTTTTTATGAAAAATAGATCTAAACATTTTTTGGTTTTAGTGCATCATCTCTAAAAATGAAAAACGTGAAACTCATGATAAAATTCAATGAAAACCTAAATAATGTCAACATAAAGTCCTCAGGTATGAATGACTCTCTTTCAATGATCAATGAATAAACGTTAAGACAAAACAGAAAAACAATGAAAAGAACAGAAATAAAAAATATGAGTACCGAGAGAATACAAAATAATTGATAGACAAAGTACTCAGCATGCATACGTGAAAGAGAGAAAATGATACAGCAAATGAATTAAAAAGAACTGGATGCATGGGCAGAGCCAGAAGCTTTGTACAATGGTGGCGAAATTTAATTCAAAACGAAATTCTAAAATAAGGTAATATAATTTTTTTAATAATTTTTCACTATATTGAATCGCGAAGCATTCTAAAATTTGTTGATCCAATGAAATGGCGGATTTATAGTGTCATTCTGCAGAGTCTAATTTTCATGTCAAGATGATGAACTATGTCATGCATGAGTACTGTAATTGTTTATAGTTAATTAAAAAATAACATGTAATTCTATATAATTAATCTTTAAATATTGACATTTTTCTCATAATATTTGGCTAAGAACTGAAATTATTTTGAAGTATTTTTTTGTTCCCAAACATGTTCAAATAATTTATTTATTTATTATTATTATTTTAACTTTAAGTAAAAGAGTTACTTCTTTAGTAGTGT